TCGTGGAAGGTGCCGTGGAACTAGATCAGCTTTAAGGTCCCTTCCAACCCAAACTGTTCTGTGATTCTATGGCAAGAGCTACCCTGTGCATCATCGGCTACCAAGAGCAAAGCTGCTTCTCCCCATATTCCGCTGCTCACCTCTCCACCCAGCTCTTGTAGCTAGGGATGTCCTTGGCATACAGCAGCTTGTTGGAAGGGGAATCTTTGCCCAGGCGGTGCTCCGAGGTGGAGCAGGAATCCATGAATGTCTGAGCCACAACAGAGAGGCAGGCATCTGTGATGCTGCCTTTGTGGATATCAAACACAAACTGGGGGTTTTTGATGACGTTCACCCAGAATCGGAGAGGCAAGCTGTCAAGAAACCAAATTAAATTCTAAGACAAAGACCAGGAAAGGAGACATGCTGCAGTTTGTGTTCCCAAGCAGAATATGAATGGTGGGAAGCAACAGTAATCCGGGTAAGAGCTGGGCCAGGCCCATCAACACCAGTTAGCCTAGTGCTGCCCAGATTGCTTGTGATAGGTCATGCTATGCCTGGGCTGGACACTACTGCCCTGTGTGCCCTGGGAGCATGCTGGGGTCTGGTCCTGGACAGAAAGGTGGAAGAGATGAGAGCTGGGTGCTGAGGGCAGGCTGCCTGTACCAGGGCAGAGCTGGGCAACGTTTGGTGGTGCTGGATGAGCAGTTCCACCAGGAGCCCATTAAACTGAGTTCGTTAGAGCAGAAGCCTATGGCAGAGCTGAGCTGCTGCCTGGCTACTCCACAGTCCATCATCTGTGAGCGGTTGCAGCAGGCATCAGAGGCTTTGTCCCCAAATCCCGAGGCCTTTGCAATCAAAGGGGAATTATTATTCCTTTTTTCTTTGCCTGTATAGCAGGATCAAAAAAACAGCTGCTGCTTTCTATTACCTTTCAAGTCTCAGCTCTCTCCATCTATCCAGCTAGCTGCACGGAAGACTTAACTCTTGCTGCACTGCAGGCAAGCAGCTCAGTCACATCCCCAGCAGCACCAGTTCTACTGACCCCCAGCTCTCCTTTCCAAGCCATTTGCTTTTATCTGGTCCTGTGGCATAAACCCTCTCCCATCTCCCCACTAAAATTCCCATTTGGGAATGCTGCAGAGAACCAAAGTGCTCAGCAGAGCTGTTAGTGCAGAGACCAAATTTCTGCCCTTCTCTTGAGCCTCCCATGCCCTGGGGCAGAGGGAAGGACCAGGGCTCTGTGGTCTGATGGCTCTAGCAGAGCAAACTGCTGGTTGACTCTTTCTTTTGTATTGCTTTAAGAGGTCTCATCTTCTTTTGGTGATATTAGTTTTTATCCTAATAATCCCTTCTTTTAGACTATCAATAAATAGTTTTTAGCCTCCTGCAGCCTTAGCAGTCAACCCAGCTCTTGCAGCCATGATGATTAGAGGCCTTTTAAACCACAAGGGACTTGGGGGGGGAAATACAAAGTCTTCAGGGAACAACCATGTGTGCTGCCTTTTTTTTTTCTTCCTATCCCATGCTAAATTTCTAACCCACAGAGCTTTTAATCCTAAAATAACAGCAGTGGTGGAGACGTGAGAGCTGTTATTGTTTGGAGGAGGCTAAACCTGGCTGCAGTCTGTGCTAGTGGCACACAGGGCTGGCTCCTTCCCCTTTGCCACCTCCTTCTGCTGCCCTAATCCTCCAGCTGCTGCACAAAGTGATGGGGAAGATGCAGCAGGCACTGAGCAGCCTGTGCTGTATTCATGGTGGTGCAGGCAGGATGGTGCAGGCATGGAGCTCTGCTTCCCACCGCAGACTTTGCAAACACAGTGATTTCCAAAGTCCATGTGTGTCATCTACAGCCTGAGGACAGTGCCCAGCACCAGCCTGGGCAGAGGACCCAGAGACACCCGAGTTTGCAGTTCAGCACTGCACAAGGATTTCAGCTCATGCGTGCACACGGGGCAGCACGATCCAGGAGCAAACCCCACTGCCACATTCCCATGGGGGCACTGGAGCAGCAGTGGTGCTGGTTGAAAAGCATCAGCATGGCTTCGTAGTACATCCCATGCCTTGGAGCTATGGGACTTGGTTGTTTCCAGCCTTCCTGAAGTTCTTCCCCATGTTTTTCTCTAGCACACAGATACCTCCTCAGTCCTCAGGTCTGCGCCTCCCTCCACCCTCCTCCTCCATCCTTACCAATTGCTCTTCCACGTGTGTCTCACGTCTGTGTCATGGATGCCATGCTTATCCGCCTGCTCATCCAGGAAATCGAACATGTACTTGATGGCGAGCGGGAGCGCGCTGCCGCGGTGCACTGTGCTGAACAGCGTCTCGAACAAGTCATCCACAAACTTCTGCAGCGTACCCTAATGGGAAAAGGTGACAGGAGGGACAGGCAGCGGTGGTGCCGGGGGGATGCCAGATGGTGTTAGTAGCTCTGCACAGCCTCATAAAGTGCCACCATGGACTTCGAGGCATAAGTAAGGTCAGGGTCTTTACCAACGCTGGGGGAATGCTCCAGCCTGTAGCTACTAGTGGCTGCATTTACGCTTCATTTCTAACCTGAAACAGTTTCTTTTGCTTTCAAAAGCCAATTTGTGTTATCTTCAGTGAAAAGCAGGAAAACTTTGGCCAAGGAAACTGGTTAAATATTTACAGGCACTGCTGTGTCTCTCTAATCATAGAATCAACCAGATTGGAAAAGACCTTTAAGTCCATCGAGTCCAACCTCCACCCCAGCCCTGCCAAGTCCATCACTAAATCATGTCACTGATGACCTCATCTACACGGTGTGTGAACACTTGCAGAGATGGTGACTCCACCACTGCCCTAGGCAGCCTGTTCCAATGCCTGACCAATCTTTGGGGAGGAAATTGTTCCTCATCTGCAGCCTAAACCTCTTTGTTTTTTTAACACTGTGCAGACAAATTAAGTATTGCAGCAACCACATTGCAGTGAGAGGAAATCTCGGGTGTGCTTCTGTTGCTGCTCTAAAAGCCAACCAGTCCCAGGGGCCCAGGAAAGCCCAACACGAACAGCCACCCCCAAGCATCATTAGGGGCCACACAGGCACGTGTGTATAGATGAATCTCCCTATTCACTTCCCAAGAGATCTGGCACAAGATAGTTACCTTTGTAGCTAAGAGCCTGGTCAGGTAGATCTCAGACACCATCTTACTGCCCCGGTCTCCTTCCTTCTGGTCTCCGTGGTCATGGTTTTTGACCAAGTGCCAGACCTTGACCCCGCTCTCCAGGTCGGGGGTGATCATGGGGGCCCGGGAGCGCAGGCTGTCAGGGCTGCCGGTGTAGCGGAAGGTGGAGTCTGAACAACAGGAGAAGTCAGTCATGTGCAAAGCAAACCCCTTGTTCATTTCCCTGTCTCTTCTCAGTGAATTAGTGAATAGAGCTCTTCTCACTCATTAGTGAGCTCTATGCTCACTAATGCCAGAATCACCTGCACCAGCTTTTTTATGGAGTGAAGAAATATAATTCCACCCAGGAATCAAGGGAATTTGGCATTTGCCAAAGATATGTGTTGGTCTTATCAAAGAATGGTTTGTGTTGGAAGGGTCCTTAAAGCTCAACCAGTTCCAACCCCCTGCGATGGGCAGGACCCCTTCCACTAGAGCAGGTTGCTCCAAGCCCCTGTGTCCAACCTGGCCTTGAACACTGCCAGGGATGGGGCAGCCACAGCTTCTCTGGGCACCCTGTGCCAGCGCCTCAGCACCCTCACAGGGAACAGCTTCTGCCTTAATGCTCATCTCAATCTCTCCTCTGGCAGGTTAAAGCCATTCCCCTTGTCCTGTCCCTACAGGCCCTTGTCCAAAGCCCCTCTCCAGGTTTCTTGTAGCCCCTTTAGGCACTGGAGCTGCTCTAAGGTCTCCCCTTAAGGAGCCTTCTCTTCTCTAGGCTGAACAAGACCAGTTCTCTCAGCCTGGCTTCACAGCAGAGGTGCTCCAGCCCTCAAAGCATGAACCACTGAATACAGTCCCTCAGATTCCAGCCTTTCTTTTTTCACACTCAGACATGGGACTTTTCTGCTCCATTCACACCCTTTACTTATGTGAACTCAGTAATCCGGGTCCATACAAGATTCCTCCACAAGTTACAGCTCACACACATCAATCCTGGGCACTGGCTCCTGCAGCACCGAAGTACTAACATCAATAATAACAAGCTGCCCAGCACAACCAGCACAAAGAGCAGAGGAAACTCTGTTCTTGGTCTTGAGGCTTTCATTAGAGTAAAAAGGGCTGCAGCTGAGCACCAGTGGCAGAGCCTGAGGCCAGTCCGGCACCCCAGCCAAGCATCCAGCTGTGGTCCCTGTCTCTGTCCTCCTCCTGCAGGGAAACAGAGCTCAAAGGGGAGCAGATAAAGGATTTTTCCCTTAATTGCTCAGGAACCATGGAGGGATGGGAGATCTATTTAACTTCCCAAAGAATGTGCCTCCCTGGATCCCATCCATGGTGTCTTCAAGGTGAGACCCAAGGCTGAGTGGCACAATTGCATGCTGCTGGGATTTTTCCTCTCCCTACATTTCTTTGTTCTCTGGGAACCTTGTGCATTTGCTCAAGTTTAGCCTCCAATTCCTTGCTCACCCTCCTCATAAAGAATAAGGGGATCAATCATAAATCAGCCAAGGGAAATACACAAGTCATTACCAAAGTAGCTAGATTTTCATCCCTGATTAAGGCTTAGATAAATGAGTACTCCAACTGATATAATTAAGGAGACAGACAGGGGGACAGCTAAGGAAGCATCTAAGAATTCTATTTTTAAACACAGCTCTGTGCTGATACATAATGGGGGAAGTAAATAAGTATCTCATTGAAATTCTGCTGGCACAATTAGAAGTATTAATCTTACACATGAGCAATGATAGTTCATATTGGTAGTTTGCAAAAGCTTTTCCATCTGACATAGATCAATGAGCACTGAGGACCCAGGTTGTGTGACCCAGCCTTGATTTTTCCATCACCTGAAGCATAGGAAATGCTGGGCACTCAGGTGGACAACCCCTCACAGGGAGAAATGCCTTTTCTCCTCATTTTTTCCTAAGATTCTCCCATGGATGGCTCCTCAGAACCCTTCAATAACATTATTTTGGGAGCTATAAACAAGAGGAGGAGATGGGGTTTATCTGGGGACCTCTCGTTTGTAAAACACTGTAAAATGAGAGATAATGAAAGATCAGCACACTGGAGATTTTGCCACTGCTGCCTTTTATGGAAGTCTATGATTACTATTATTGTGGATTTAGTGCTATAAATGCACACCTGGCCCCTCACAGGCACATTTACAAAGGCTGCAGTGTCTTCAGGGACCCTCTGTGAAGAGCTGAGCCCTGCTATTATGCAAATAATGAATTCCCAGGTGTGCACATCCCTGAACATTGCCATTACCCATCTTTGACCCGTTAGTTATGAATTCAGGATCCTCCACTTATAGAGCAATAGATGAAGGAATCAGGATTTTCTCTCATGTTGCCCTGCTTGCACGCAAGAGACACAAAGCTGCTTTCCTGTAGCATCCAGCCCCTCTGAGCCAAAAGCCTTTCCCTGGGCTCTTCCAAGCCCCACATTTCCAATAGCTGCTCACATGCTTGGCATTTCTTCTTCCCTTCACTCAGTTCTCTGGCCTTTTTTTTTTTGCTGCTCTGCTCAGAGATGGAAAAGCCTTTGCAAAAACACAGCAGACAAGGATATCTTGCTGTTTGGCACCAGAATGTACTTTCATCTTGGCTGACGTGGTGTGGTTCTTTAGGGGAAGCTGCTGCTTTTTCCCCATCTAATTCCCTTAAAGTGTTGCCCTCCTGCAACAAAGGCAGCTTCATTACCAGCACCATCAAATACGTTTTCAAGCAAAGCTGCAAGCTCCAGTCTGGCTCTAAAATCTGCTGTGCAGCACAAGCAATGCCCAGACATACATGAGCCATTATTTCCCAGCCCTGAAATCTGCTTCTTACCATATCTACTAATAGATGTCCGGGATATACTGGCAGAGGCAGGAATATTATAGGAGGAGGTCTGCTTGGGAACAAGAGCCACAACTGAGCGGTCAGATACCTGGAGAGGCAAAGGAAGAGAACAGAAGATCAGTGAGATCCACCATCTACACAGTGAACACCACCTGCAAACGCAGGTAAGAAAGTCATGGCATTATAGAGCCATATGATGGTTTGGGTTGGAAGGGACCTTAAAGCTCATCCACTTCCACCGCCCTGCCCCGGGCAGGGACACCTTCCACTAGAGCAGGTTGCTCCAAGCCCCTGTTTCCAACCTGGCCTTGAACACTGCCAGGGAGGGGGCAGCCACAGCTTCTCTGGGCACCCTGTGCCAGCGCCTCAGCACCCTCACAGGGAAGAGCTTCTGCCTAAGAGCTCATCTCACTCTCCCCTCTAGAAAGTTAAAGCCATTCCCCTTGTCCTGTCCCTACAGGCCCTTGTCCGAAGCCCCTCTCCAGGTTTCTTGTAGCCCCTTTAGGCACCGGAGCTGCTCTAAGGTCTCCCCGGCCTTCTCTTCTCCAGGCTGAACCTGCTCCTCACATTGCTGGGGATGCAGCCCAGGACACAGATGGTTTCTGGGCTCTCAGTGCACACACCCAGGTCATGGTGAGTCTCCAGGACCCAGCATGGGCTCTGTGCTGGGTCAGCAGCAGCTCTGCAGCAAGGGACTGAAGGAAAAGAGTGATAAATCAAAAGATGTACTGAAGATGCTTTTGGTCGTTCTGATTTAAGATTACGTTTTATCCAATAAAAATGAGCATCTCAAGAACTGTTGTGATCCAATTAAAGTAACAATGCAGAGGGAATAAAAAAGCTGTAATAACGTTATGGACCATAAAATATTCCCATTAAACCATTTTTTATTTTAGCAATTTTTACAAACTTTAGAAGTTTGATTTACAGTTGAGCAAGTCATAAAGCCATCTTTCAGGGTATTAAATTCAGTCCCTCTACTGCACCAGAGAAGGAATTAAATTCTGGGAAGTCAAACTATAAATGAACATTAGTGTTAACAAGATTTTGTTATAGCAGATTTTAGTAGCCATGTTTAATTTTATCCTCCCTATAAATCTAGTAGTCAGCGGAAGTTTTTTAACTCATTTCCCTTCATTAAGGATCTGTAGGTTTCAAGGGAATGGGCTCAAGTGTCTTTTAATTTTGAACTCATGGTCTGTGCGGCAGCACAAGGGAGCAGAGAGCGGAGGCACCACATGTCACAAGAGGAATGGCTTTAATCTGCCAGAGGGGAGATTGAGATGAGCTCTTGGGCAGAAGCTCTTCCCTGTGAGGGTGCTGAGGCACTGGCACAGGGTGCCCAGAGAAGCTGTGGCTGCCCCATCCCTGGCAGTGTTCAAGGCCAGGTTGGACCCAGGGGCTTGGAGCAACCTGCTCTAGTGGAAGGTGTCCCTGCCCATGGCAGGGGGGTGGAACTGGTTAGGCTTTAAGGTCCCTTCCAACACAAACCCTTCTGTGATTCTATGATCTCACAGGTGACAGACCCACTGGGGTCCAGCCAACACATCATTTAGAGAAGCTGCACAGAAGAAATGCCTCTTTATCCTGGAGAAATTGCTTCTGGGGCTAAATTCTCTATTTGCCAGGAGTCCTGTGAGGGACTTGGCCCTGTCCCTTCACATGGGGAAGCTCCAGGGCAGCATCTGGATTTTGCTGACCGAGCATCTCCCTGCTCTCTCAGCAGAAGGATGTTTGTACATCTGTTGCAGTGAGGTGACCTGCACACAGCAATTTTCACCACCTTCAATGCTCTGGGTTCCATTCAGATGAAGGTTTTCATGTAAATGTGAGTTATTATTATTGCTGGTGATAGTGGAAATAATAGTACCTTGTGTTTCCCAGTACAAAAGTAAGACATTCCTAAGCAAAACACTTCAAACACCTCTGTTATTTTCTCTTCTGCTCCTGCCTCACTTCATCCCATTGATTAACTCAATGGTAGAAATTATCAGAGGTGATATTATTTTCTTAGGCTCTTACTAGCTGCCACTTCAATTCCACTTCACTGGGGAGAAACCCAAGCACACCAGCAGCCCAGCATGTTCCCAGAGAGGCAGCAGCTCCCTGGCCACTGTGTTGGGATCTGTTTCCACCAGGGCTGTGGTTAACTGGGGGAGAGGCATTACACATTCCACACACACAGAGCACTCTCTAAATTTTGGGTCGAATGGCTCTTGTCAGCTAAAACCCACCAGCATGCAAATCAGCATCAGATGTAACACATACTCGTTTCCCATCTCACTCTGCTGTTGCCACATTCCCATAAAACCCCAGGGACGCCAGGGTTTAAAAAGAGCTGCCTGGCTCTTTTACAGCTTTATAAATATTCCAATTCTTCTCCAAGCTGGAAACGTGCTGCACAAAACACCTTAAAGACAAGAAACCCAAAACTCAGCGCGGGGAGAGCAGTGGTGCAGAAGCCCAGAGGAGAACACTGCGCTTGCGTTGGGGTAGTGAGGATGCCAGCTCCACATCCACACCACCCTCAGCTCCCAGGTCTCATTTCCCACACAAATCTTCCTTCTCCGCTTCTAATTTCTCATTTTAAGCAGTTTTCTAGCCTCTCAGCCTTTCCAGCTCGCAGTGGCTGACAGGTATTCATGCTCTGCTGCCTCAGAGTTAACCCTACGTGAGCCACTGTAAATCATTTGATATTATATCCCTTGTTTCATTTTTCTTGAGTAAATCCACATGGGGTGAGACTCTGCCGTGGAGTTTTAATAGGCATGAAAGCAGAAGGATACTACACAAATGGAATACAATTCCCTACAACATAGTTTAAAACTCTGGAGAATATAACAAAGAATTACACCTATTTAACTTAACACATCTATTTTTACAAAGGAAGAAATAAGCAGCAGGGATACAGTTCTCTCTGTAATTCTATACGGTGGTTCAAAAATATCACAGAAAGATGAATCTTTCCCTCCAAATCCAATCTGGCTTTTGCATGTGAAGGCTTCCCATGAAAAACAGATTTTATCAGCTGATGCAGATGTATATGGGATTTTTTTGTCATCCTAAACATGTAGAAACCCAATGTAATGGTGTCATAACCCTCTTGTAGTTAAATAACTGCCCTCTGCAGAGCCCCACCACCCTGCCCACAGCATGGTGAGCAGGAGGAGGCTGGTTTCACCTCCAGTTACTTTGTGAAAATCGAAAGATAACTTTGCCTTCAGATCTGAATACAGACAATACAGCTCTGAGTAAAAGATGGTGCGAGTTCTACAGAGGGAGCTTTTTAGAAATCAGTTTCACTAATCCTCCAAGAAGCTGGAGAAATCTAGATTTCATTTTAATCATAGAATTCTATGATTAAAGCTCATCCAGTTCCAACCCCTTCCATGGGTAGGGACATCTTCCACTAGAGCAGGTTGCTCCAAGCCCCTGGGTCCAACCTGGCCTTGAACACTGCCAGGGATGGGGCAGCCACAGCTTCTCTGGGCACCCTGTGCCAGCGCCTCAGCACCCTCACAGGGAAGAACTTCTGCCTCAGAGCTCATCTCAATCTCCCCTCTGGACAGTTAAAGCCATTCCCCTTGTCCTGTCTCTACTGGCCCTTGTCCAAAGCCCCTCTCCAGCTTTCTTGTAGCCCCTTTAGGTATTAGGCATTAGGCAATGGCTTGAACTGTATCTGCTTTATATGTAAAACTCCTATCAAGCAGTGAGACAGCAGCATTTGATACTCAAATGATTTTACACCCTTTTCTAAGTTCTGCCTTTGCAAACGTATTTGTTTTACACTATAGTCCTGGAGCATCTGTATTTTTGATACCTAATAAAAACATCTATTACTCAAACAGAAAAAAAAAATAGAAGCCTGGTAGGAATACCAGGAAAAATCAAACATATCTGTTTGGTTTTGTCAAAAGCTCTGTCTCAACAAGATTTCTGTTGTAGGGCAGAGAACTTGGCTTCTTTTTAATGCCTGAACCAGCTCTGCTGTGCTGTGCAGAGCTGGGGCCAGAGAGGGGAGAGGACATGAGCAGTTGGTACCTGTTCAGATGCTTGGCAGCAAACCTGTGCTTTGTTCCAGAGCAAAACTGACATTCAAATGGCAGTAATAGCTGCAGCATCTTGAGTGGTGCAAGGATTTTGTTTATTTTAAGGGTAAACTTGTGGCTTGGATTTCCCCACAGGCACTAAAATAAAAGCACTCCCTCTCCTAGCATTCAACACGCATCAGACAAACACAGCTTCACTTGTGACTTCCTTAAGATGACTTTTAAAGATCAAGGCATAATCAAGTCTTGCTGCTTCCCCACGTATTGGTTAATCCCTTGCAGCTGTCAGGTAAAACAGATTTTAGAAACAATGGAATTAACCTGCACTACTCCTATGACATTTTATGGTAATCTGTGTTTAAATCCTTTAGGCAGCTTGGAAAAGTCGACCCTCAAGGTGCTGTTTTAGATGCACTTTGCATATTTATGCCACTCTCTCTGCCTTGCTCCTTGATGATATGGCTCCTGTCAATACTAGCTCACATTCAACTTACACAGCATGAGTCACGCTGATGGACTTGAGACAGTGTATAAACAGGGAAAGATGCCAGATTAAATACTGAACACTTCTGTGTAGGTAGTGATGGACAGTAGCAGGTTACAGGTGCCAATTAATGCAGTTATCCTCTGCTGCAGACAGGCTTTGATTCTCTTTAACCAAAGCTTCCCCAGCTCCATTGTTACCTCTCTTTCCATCTGTCCCAGCCTGTTAGCAGCCCTTTCCAACAGATGCACACCTATCCAGGGCAGCCTAGGATAGGCTGGGGCATGCAAGATGCAAAAGCTAAAGATGGCAACAATTTCTTAAGTCACCTTGCTCACCCTGGCCAGTGCACAACAGAGCATCTTCATAGATTGGTTTGGGGTGGAACGGACCTTAAAGCTTATCCAGTTCCAACCCCCTGCCATGGGCAGGGACACCCTCCACTAGACTTTCACTGTCTAGCTTTGTTTTCTATGACTTCAGCAGCAAAATTCCCATTACTTGGCTTGGAAGACTAGGTGTGGGACTGAGGGGGTTTGATGTCACTTGATAGCAAGGATTAGCTCCTGATATTCATCTTTTCTTGACCTGGCCTCATCCTGCCCTCCCTGCAGCACCCCATCAACCCTCCTATGTGACTATATTTGAAGCGTTTGCTCTGCTTTCCTTCTTCACTCCTTGCATGATGCTCAAGAGCCAACACGTAAGACGATCAGAAGTATGAGAGGCGAGCTGCTGCTGCACCCTGTACTTTGCATCAGCTCGTGTTGTGTCTGCAAAGCTTTGAAGGAAGGCAGAGACTCCTCTTCCTTCCCTGCTGCCCTCCTGGTTGTCTCAGAACATTGTGCAAAGACCTGAGCCACACAATCCACCCCTCCCCTGACCCTGCATCTCCAGCAGCAGCTCAGCCCTCACCACACTCCCTGTGTCTCACTAGCACAGCTGATGTGTTTAATTTAGCCAATTTTCAACCCTGCTAGTTTCTCTAAGAGCCATGTCAAGGTTGCTTTCCCATCTAATGCGTGAGCACATTGAACCCTTCTGGTTTATCATACAAATGGGACCTCCCTGTCTGTCTTGCTAGACGAGATACTTGGGAATTAAATCTCTGCTTTTCTTTTCTTCTCTCTCAGCAGTGTTCTGGGAGCTGTCTGCTAGGGCTGCTTTCTTACCTGATAATGCATCAAGGTGTTCAAGCGTTTCCAATCTCCTTCGATCTTGGTGGTGATATCTTCATCCTGCAGGACCACACGAGCTATCCGGCCCTGCCGCCACTCTGCAGGAGAGGCAAAAACCAGGTCAGAGACGGAAAAGACACTAAAAGGCTCTATCCACTTCTAGATAGTAACTACTAGACAGATAAGCCTTTAAGAAAAGCCCATCTCCCAGGAAAAGGCACCCAGAGAAAGCTAAATTCTTATCAGCGAAGGAGGCTTCAGGAATCATTTGTTCTGTGGTTAATGGAGCTCCCACAGAGCTCAAAACCTCTGTGGCAGGAGCAGAACCCATGCTTTCCTTGGGCTGAAACATACATGGTGTTGTGCTGCCTGAGCTCTAGTTTTCAAGCCCTGCAAAACCCACCCGGAATCACTAATCAATCTCTCTTATCTTCCCCTTCTATGAGGCAGGGAAGATCCTACCCAAGTCCATGTCGACAGCTCTTGGTCTTTGAGAATATGGGACGTTTTTGTATACTGCATCGAGGATCTTCTCTTTGACTTGAGTGATGGTATCACAGTTCAGCACCTTCACAGGAATCTCTGGACTGTTCTCATTATCTGGGTTCACACAGTTTAGGATCTGGAAGGGAAAGAAAACCATGTCATGGGCTTCAGATAAGCATCCAGAACTGTAACCACATGTGTCAGAACAATCTGTTCTCATAAAAAAACCACTGCATACATAATTCCATCTAGTATATCTTTGATTACCGACATAGGAGTCCAGTGATGTCCATTTTCACCTGCTAGAGGGAGGGCAATGCTCAGTGCACAAGGAAATAAAATGCTGCACTCAAACCCTGCTTTTAAAGCCTTATCTCAGGCTATTTGTACCTGCAAATTAGGGATGCACCTGACTTGAGTGGAGGCTTTATAGCACTGGTAGCATTTCTACTTCACGATGGTGTCTTAATCACCAGCCTAAAGGTCACAACAGCTCATGTCCAAGCAGAGAGGATAGAAGCAATTTAATAGCAGCTTCTACAGTGATCACTCACCAGAGTCTTGTATTCAATTTGCTGCCGAATCAGCTTGTCCTCACTGAGGGAGTAACGAGCTTCTCCTGTGATGGCATCAATTGGGCCTTTCTCCATCTGTTGCTTGATGGCACAGTAAAGCATGAAGAGTGGTTCTCCAGCACATTCCTACACAAGTAGACAGACAGCAAAACTAAGAGAGAGGTGAAGGTGCATCTCCTCCAGGGCTCCTGGCCTGCACAACAGGTTTTGCACATGATTCAGAGTCCCATTGACTCAACCTTTAGCACATGTGCAATCCAGACTCAGCCTCCAGCAGCTCCTGGGAAGACAGCCAAAACCATGAGCTCCATTGCTCAATGGGTATGTTGTCTTTGGCTTGGCAAATCTCTACAGAATCTATATGGCTGTAAAAAAAAAAGCAATTTGAGATCTTGATCTCCTCATTCACTCCCATGAAGCACAATCTGTGAGGCTTTCAAAACCACAAATAAAGTTAAGAAATATGGAAGTCCAGGCATGGAGGTGGGAGTGAGAATTTCTCCCAAGTACTAAAGAGGTGTAACAGAAACTCCATTACATGGGAATTTGAGGTTTGAAAAAGAGGTTGAAGAAGGCTGAGCACGGAGGCAGTGGCAGCTTGACTCAGCCCATGTAACAGCAGCCCTGGGTGTAGGTATCTCTGAAGCATGTTTCCACCTCCCCTGTTTCCCCTCATTTGACTTGGAGTCTGACTGAATTGTTTCAAACCCAGATTCACCCTGGAGATGGCTGGTGGGTGAGACAGCAAAGCAGCAGTGGGGTCTCAGCTCCACCCCTCCTTACCTTGAGGAACTTGTGGAGGAGGAAGGCAAACCAATTAGTCAGCATCTTCTCAGCCACCGACTCAGTCCTAGGGAAGCCAGGAGGACACGCACATTACATACTAAACCAAACCATGCATCAGAGGCACCAAATCTCCCCTGGCACAGCTTCCGTGATGCTCTGGACCCAGGCAGGATGTGGCCAGTGCTGTCCCCACTCCCTGCACTGAGCTGACAGCAGCTTGCCCAGCTGAGAGCCCATCACAGCCCTGATGGGGCTGGTGACAGGGAGCCTGCTGACACTCAACTCCTTACACATGGTGCAAATTACAGCCTAGCTCAGTAAATCACTGGGATTTGCAGCAGTTCCTGGCAATCAGGGACAGCAGAGTGACAATGGCAGGGAAATTACAGCTTTCTCCCCAGTCCCACCCAGTGTCCTCTCCCCACATTGTACCCAAGATTAGCTCTAATTTAAATACAATGGCTCTTAATGACAGTTTTTAATTCTGGCTCTGCAGGACCCGGAGACTTTCCTTAAAGCACTACAATCCCCCTTTCCTTGGGACAGGATAGATGTGTTGGTGGCAGTATCCCACAGTTCACATCTGAGCCCCAGCCAGGCAGCTCATGCTTGGTGGTGGCAGGCAGGAAAGCAGGAAAGTAGGCAGGCCCGAAGGCAGGCAGGAAAGCAGGAAGGCAGGCAGGGCTGCCAGCCTGTCTGTGAGGCCATGCAGCAGGGAGTTGCTCTGCTGCATCAAAGCCAAATGGGAACATGACCCCAGGTACCTTGGCCTTCATGCCACATTCGATCTCAGGATCTGGTCCAAATTTCAGCAAGGGAAGAGGGACGCACCCAACCCTCTGCAGTACCTTTTCCTCTGGTGACCCTGCTGGGTCTGGGCAGCACCTTCACCCCCTTGGTTGACAACACTGGTGCCATTCCTGCCAACTGCCTTTTTGACCACTGTGCCACCAACCCCACTCAGGAGATGTCCACTGCAACAGCAACACCCCGAGCCTCTGCTTTTGCCCATGCCTTCACCCAGAGGAGGTCACATCCTGCTCCAGACCCATTTTCCCTATCGGCTCTGCTGCCTTGAGTTAGGAACTGCCTCTTGGTATGTTTTTATACAGCCTCCCACAAGCATGAAAACTGGCATTTAATGAAAAGTACACACTATAGAAGCAACAGGGTTTGATCCCAAAGTCTGGCAGATCAAGAAGAAATGGGAGCCACAGATTCCAGCAAACAAAAACTGACACCAGTTGGTAAAGGGACCTGCACTCGTGTTATCCATCATCTCTTCAGATGGCAACATCTGTCAGGAATTTGTGAAAATGTCTGCAGATCCCTAAAGAATTTCAGCCAGAACTGATTAACTGCCTAAAAATTCATGCTACAAATTGACAGACACATTGTTCTCCTGCTTGAAATATTTCAGTCACCCAATTAAGGAAAAGAAGCACTAGGACGCAAGCCAGGGAAAACACAGAGTCAGTGAAAGAAACCAAGGAAGAGGTGAAAACCTCAGAAAATGATCTATTCAGGACTTCAGAATGAATATTAATTTAATAAACTACTTTACTAATAGAATATTAAAATTAGAATTGGCAAGCCTCCCCCGTATCAGACCCACCAGTGAAGTAATGCTGTGTCCTATCCCCGTGGGCTGCTCATGGCTTGCCACTGACACCGTAAAAACAACTGGAATATAGAGTGACAGGGAAACTGGGGCATGTTGTGCAGGAGAATGATATCGGATACTCTCATGCCTAGCTTTGATTTCTTTATCAGAAACACAAGATCAGCTGAATGGAACAGCAAAAAGAAACATCTCGGAGCATCTCTGTCAAATCCCATTTCTCCTTATCTTCAAGCACTGAATCTCACTCTCATCTCAACACAGACTGACACTGCAAGCTGTCTGTAGTGCATCAGTCCTGGGGATGGCCAACAATAGAGTTAATCATCACTGTCCTGCACTGGCTGCTCCTAACCTTCATCACTGCTGGGTGCAGCAGGAGCACTGTAGGCTCCTTGCAAACAAGTCTGCAGTAGATACTTCTCCTGGCCCACCTCTGCCTTTGAAATGGGATTGGTGCTGGACATCAGGGTAAACCACCCCTTAAACTCTGCCTGTCACCATGGGGCCTGGCTTCTCCTTCCGTCTGCCAGGCAGGGAGGGGTGTGCTAAGCCCCAGCAATACCTGCTGCAGAGTTTGAGCTGCCCTTTGGCTGGCATCGCTGTGCTGGGCTCTGAAACACTGCTACAGATCTGCCCTGACAAATAAAACATCAGCTCCTGAAGGCGAACACAGCGGGGAAGAATCCCCAGACCTGGAGAAAACCTTCTCAGATTGACCACATAACAAGGGCAAAGCATGATCCAGAGCTGGAGTCTGACGCCAGCAACCAGCGCCTTGGTGGCTCCTCTGCCTTTCTGAGGCACTGGGAGTAAACCAAAACTGAACAAAAAGAGCTGAGAGAAACCAACAAATAAATATCTATTTTATGGATTTTCCCTGCTCTGTGCAGGTCTGTGAACCGCTGTCTGCTGCACTCTGTGCCAGCAATCAGAGCAGCGATTTGATTTCATATCAACTTTCTTGCTGCCTTCCATGAGGAGTACTCATGGAAGAAAGAGAGAGGCGGGAAAGGAGGAAGAAAGAGAGAAGGAACAGAGTGACTGAGAGCCAATTATCAACTGCTGCCACCAGAGAGCTCAAAAATTCAACATGTATCTCAGTTTGTGGCTGATTACTCCTGATTAAGTCTGAGGAAGATGTTCCAGCCCAGGCTGTTTAGGGACCACCATGACCCAGAGCTCCAGCTGCAGATTTAGTAGGGCCTGTAGTGATGGGACAAGGAGTAATGATCTTAAACTAAACCAGGGTAAATTCAGACTAGATAGAAGGAAAAAATTTTTTATGATGAGGGTGATGAAACCCTGGACCAAGTGGCACAGAGAGGTGGTAGATGCCCCATCTCCAGAAACATTCAGTGTCAGTTTTCACAGAATTCCAGACTGGTTTGGGTTGTAAGAGAACTTAAAGCTCATCCAGTTCCACAGGCTGGGATGGGCAGGGACACCTTCCACTAGAGCAGGTTGCTCCAAGCCCCTGTGTCCAACCTGGCCTTGAACACTGCCAGGGATGGGGCAGCCACAGCTCCTCTGGGCACCCTGTGCCAGCGCCTCAGCACCCTCATAGTTAAGAATATTTTCCTAATATCTAATCTAATCTACTTTTATATCTAGTTTAATATCTCATCTAATCTAGTAATACTGTGAAAAGGCTAAATCTTGGCTCAGGACAGCCAGCCTCAATCCTGCTGGCGTTGCCCATAGACTGCATCTTTCCTGGGTGCTGTGGGGAGGAGGGAGCAGGGCTCTGATCACCAGCTGTGTATTTTTTGGAGCACTGCAAGCAGTCATTATTAATGGCTGAGGCAGAAGAAGCCTTCCCAGAGACTTGTCAAATCACAGGGGAAATTAAGACGGCTTCCTTTTCCGAGATGAGTTACTGCCTCCACAAATATGGCCAGATGTAAAGCAAGTATATTCATTACGGCTGGAGGAATCCCTGAAATTTTCCTAGAGCTGTGAAATCCTCTCTTTGCCTTCATCCAGTCTCTCCAGAGATAGAGCTGGAGGCGCCATGGGCACACCAATGGGGCACCTGTGTTCCTTCACTGTCCAAAACCAGGCTTTACAGCCAAAGAGAAATGGGATGGATATGGCTAATTACATGGAGAACAGGGGGAGCCTTTTGCCTCATGACCTACACTCATACAGACTTTGATCCTTTTTTCTTTCTGCCATTTCCAAACACCATCTTGGGTGAGTCGCTTAATCAATTGTTGGCCAAAGGGATGAGGTTCATCAAGGCAAAGTGCCGGGTCCTGAACTTGGGAGCATCCTGGCCTGCATCAGCACTAGCGTGGCCAGGAGAATCAGGGCAGTGATCGTCCCCCTGTACTGGGCACTGGTGCGGCCACCCCTCAAATCCTGTGTTCGGACATGGGCTCCCACCACAAGAGAGACATTGAGGTGCTGGAGCGGGGCCATGGAAGGGCAACGGAGCTGGTAAAGGGTCTGGAACACAAGTGTGATGAGGAACGGCTGAGGGAGCTGGGGGCGTTTAATCTGGAGAAGAGAAGGCTCAGGGGAGACCTTATCGCTCTCTGAAAAGAGTGAGCCACCTGAAAGGAGGATGGAGGCAGGAGGGGGCTGGTCTCTGCTCCCAAGAAACAAGGGATAGAACAAGAGGAAACGCCCTCAAGCTGCACCAGGGGAGGTTTAGATGGAGATGAGGAACAATTCCTTCTCCAAAGGGTGCTCAGGCATTGCAACAGGCTGCCCAGGGCAGTGCTGGAGTCACCGTCCCTGCAAGCGTTCACACGCCGTGTAGACGAAGCCCTTAGTGCCATGGCTTAGTGTTGGCCTTGGCAGTGCTGGGAGCGGTTGCACTGGATGAGCTTAAAGGTCTTTTCCAACCTGGTTGACTCTGTGACTGCTGGGAGCAGCCCTGGTGTGCCCAGCGGCAATGGACACAATGCTGCTGCCATCACAAGCTTCGGTGGTTGCTGTGGAGACACTGTGGGACTGGTTAGGACCAGTCACGGGTGTGGGCATCCCCACTGTGACCACCGGGGCTTTGTGATGTAATGTGCCCGGAGGCCACTGTGACGGGGGTGACCCCGTGGTGACCGTGGGGTATATAAGAAGCGGGAGCACTGGAGTACCCCAGTCCAGAGGAGCAGCCTCCCTGAGGAGGCAGCAATTTCCCTGGAAGCCCATGGCAGGTCAGCGTCCAAGGGCGTGGAAGATGCCTGTGGGTAGAGAGGCAAACACCTGTTCCCAGCCCACTGCGGGCAGGCCCAGTGCGCAGAGGATGCGCCAGGTGAGGACCGGGGCAGGAGGGAGAGGCCAGTGGTGGGACGGGGCCACATGGAGGTGCCTCGGTGCCGCGGCCGGGCTTGCCGGCACTGCGGAGGCTTTTTTTTCTCCCCCCCCTTCCTCCTCCCCCTCCTGTCCGCAGGTGTCCCGCAGGCAGCCCGATGAAGAGCCGCAGGGCAGCCCG